GGCTTCTAAATAAGCATATTTTTCGCCCGACTATAAATTTGGGAATTCTAATTTTCCAATAAACGCATCAAAAGATATGTATGACTTACACAAAAATAGGAAAAAAAACCCAGAAAATCATGTAATTTCAGCAACATTTGTAAATCACTGGTATAGCAAAATAAATACCCCGACCCCCCCCCCCCCTCATCAGTACGCCAGCGTAAAGGGGCTCATGTCTTCTCACCCCTATAACAAACAGACACGCTTTCCCATTCTCACACAATATGTCCACGATATGCGCGTATCGTTATTATAAAAACCTCCATTGATAAATATAGGGGCATTCGCAATGTTTAGGAATTTTAATTCCTGTTTAGGCCTACTTTCCTTTTGTTTGAATGGAATTGTATATATATATGTTATTTAATTCAGGTTTTTTGTATGGTTATGTTCTTTTTGGGTTAGAAATACAAACCATCTTAACTCCTTTACTACTTTTTTTTTTGGGGGGGGGGGGGGTGCCAAAATGCGTTTTGCCCCCCCCCCCCCATTTTTTTGGTTTGGCGCCAGGGGGGAGGGGTACCATCTAAAAAAAATAAATAATGTGTTTTTACACGTTTTTTTCCCAGGGGGGGGGGGGGGTTCCGTGCCCCCTGGACTCCCCCCCCCCCCCCTGAATGCGTTATATTTTTCTGCTGCACAGATTGGGGTTAGGTGCGTGTTGAGCTTATGGGAAAGTTAAGGGTTAGGGTTAGGATTAGGGTTAAATCAAGACCTCTTTTTAAAAAAAAGCGCCAATCTGTGCCGCAGAAAAAAAATAACGCCCCCTGGATCCGCCACTAGTTTGGCAGTGCCGCCTCTATGGCATACTGGCCAAAAATGAGAAGAAAAAAACGGAAATCTTGTCATTTCAGCAACATTTGTAAATAGTCCAACTGGTATCGAATTAGAAATAAACCACGGAATTTTATTTTGGGTATCTGCCCCCCCCCCCCCCCCCCCATCAGTAAGCTAGTGCATTATGATAAAACAAACATAACGAATGTAAATGTTGATTTAAATCATGTAATGATTAACTTTTTTGTCCGCGCGTTTTGGTAACTTATTTATCTAGAGGGCGTCAAAGCTTGGCGGGAAATTTGCTAACCCGTGCAGACAGGGAAATCCCCAACTTCCATCAAACCGTGAATCTGGATCGGGCATGGGTAGCGGTTCTGCTCCACATAATACCCGACACAGATACCAACAACTAAACCAGATTACTTGCTTAGAAGTTACTTGACACCCTACTATGAGAAGGAAGAATACACGAACTGGAACTGCATGCATGGAAGCGTGACTGCTGAGAACACAGCTGAGCATATTCTTCCAGAATCTCGGGTAAGGCCAGGCAAATTAAGGTACAGCCAGCGCCAATGCACTGGGCACTAGGCACTATATAGCTGGTAGTGGTAGTCACTCCAGCAAAGCATAGAGAGTCAATGCTAATGCGTATTGACCTCTTGCACTGCATACTTGCTGTGAGGCAGGTATTATTAGACCTAGATCTATACACAAATATACACACCATACAATATTGCATAGACTGTCAATAGGACCGATTGGGCTGATCGGCAAATTTGACACTAGACTTAGTCTACAATTTGAATTTTTAAATTATTCTTTTTAACATCAGTAAGTTGAGGCAAATGTATATTACTGCTATTTAGGTGTCATCAATTGTCACTAAAGTACAGATTTTGAGTGAAATCAGATGAGTTTTGTACAGTGGTGTTTGAAATGTTGTGAATCAAAAACACAGCTTTTACTACCACAGCCAGGATATAGTGATGCTCCTATGTGTGGTGGTAAGATAAAGTAAGTAAATGTCTGACGCCGTGATTTTTAGACGTGAAGCCAGGTCAGCTAAAATGTGTCGGCTGTTTTTATGCTAAATCAGCTAAAAAAATTATTTTGAATGTTCCAAAGGTACGTGATCCTGCAGAAAATTTGGATAAAATTCTGTGAGATCACATCTTAATCATTATCATTTCAAAATTACCCTCCCCAACTGCTTCACAGAGCCCTAGCCCTATAGATGCACATTACTTACACATAGACTAGATAGATCTTGACCCAAAGGCTCATGCCGAAAGGGTGCGTTGGGAGTGTCGCGTCGTGTTGACTTGAACGCGACCATTTGTCCAAAGCCCCCCCTGGTTTGGCCGAAAGGGTGCGTTGGGAGTGTCGCGTCGTGTTGAACGCGACCATTCGTCCAAAGCCCCCCCCCCCCCCCGTTTGGCCGAAAGGGTGCGTTGGGAGTGTCGCGTTGCGTAGAACGCGACCATTCGTCCAAAGCCCCCCCCCCCCCGGTTTGGCCAAAAGGGTGCGTTAACTTATCTTCCACATCAGTCGTTTATAATAGAATTTAAGAAATTTAACTTGTTTAAATTCAAATAATCAAAAAAGAAACAGATTAAAAATTTAATCAAACTTGTTTTTACATAGTCTTGCAGATCAGGCGTTTATAAGAATTAAATCAATAAATAACAAGAAACACAATCAAATAATTTACTATGATATAAAATGTCTAATAAAGGTGTTAACCTAGTCTTGCATATCAGTCGCTTATTTATTAAAATAACGAAAAATAAAATCCATTTCTTTCTATGTATGGAATTCAGAAAGCCCCCCCCCCCCCCAGATCAGGCATTTATAAGAATTAAATCAATATATAACAAGAAACACAATCAAATAATTTACTATGATAATATATAAAATGTCTAATAAAGGTGTTTACCTAGTCTTGCATATCAGTCGTTTACTTATTAAAATAATGAAAAATAATATCCATTTCTTGCTATGTATGGAATTCAGAAAGCCCCCCCCCCCCCCCCAGATCAGGCGTTTATAAGAATTAAATAAGAATAATTCCTTAATTGATGTAATTTTTATAAACGCCTGCTCTGCAAGACTACGTAAAAACTAGTTTTATTTAATTTTTAATCTGTTTCTATCTTGATTATTTGAATTTAAACAACTTAAATTAGTATTCCGTAAATTCTATTATAAACGACTGATGTGGAAGACTAGTCAACGCACCCTTTCGGCCAAACCTAGGGGGGGGGGGGGGGCTTTGGACGAAAAGTCGTGTTCGACGCGACGCAACACTCCCAACGCACCCTTTCGGCCAAACCTGGGAGGGGGGGGCTTTGGAAGAATGGTCGCGTTCAAGTCTAGTCAACGCGACGCGACGCTATCCACCCTTTCGGCATAAGCCGAACCCTAAGGCCTGAATTCACAAAGGAGGTTTGTCCTCAAACCTAGGTTTATATGTGCGTCATATTACACGTTTTGAAGCACATAAACCTAGGTTTGTCGACAAGCCTCCTTTGGGAATTCAGGCCTTTGTGTGTGCTCTCTGAGCTGCGTGTGCGCTCAAGCATTTGTGCCATTTCATTTGTACACGTCTATGGGAATTTGTAGCTGAAAGATTTTATTTTAGGGTTAAGCCCCTTTCACACCGGGCCATACGTACAGTTGTGTAGTGTTGCTTACCGACAACCCAGAGCGTACGCTGGCGTAGTATATACGCACGTGACGTGACGTAATAGCAGGCCTGCATGCATGCTACGTGCATGCGATATACGTCAACCCTGCGAGGAGCTAGCTGAGGCCTGCGAGGCGGTCCGCCAGTACTTAGTCTAACAATTACTACCTTTTCTTTCCTTTTTTTTCCTGTCTGGCCCTGATTAGTGACGAAAGTGGTTGCCATGCGTGACAGCATTTTCAGACCCTGGATGCATGACTGTCACGCACAATTTGTGACACTTGGTAGCTCTGCAAAGGGGTACGCGAGATGGACGCAAACAATTGTTGTTTTTTTTAAAAAAACTTTAAATTTGTTTTTTTTGGCCTACTTTCAGCGGAGACACTAATCCCAAAACGTACGCATTTTCTACGAAACAACTACGCAATAGTAAGCTACCCTACACCAGTCCGACGAAGCAGTATAAGCAGAGCTACCAAGTGTCGCGCATTGTGCGTGAAAGCCACGCATCGAGGGTCTGAAAACGCTGTCACGCATGGACATAAATTTTGTAACGCATCAGGGCCATACTGGGAAGAAAAAAAGAAAAAAGAAGTAATTGCTAGACTACGTACTGGCCGACTGCCTCGAGGCCTTCGCTAGCTCCTCGCAGGGTTCGTGTATGTATATCACATGCACGTAGCATGCATGCAGGCCGGCTTTCTCGCCTCGTCACACACGCCCCCGATTTAGAAACGTACGCTATACGCTATACCCTCTCCCGCCGAGTCATTAAAATGTCACGCATAGCTGATCTTTCAACTTGGAATCTCTGTGTACGTATAAATTAATTAAGACGTCCTACTCCTAGATCCTTTTTGCACACGCAGTAAGCAACCATGCGCAACTGTAAGCAAACCTACGTACCTGGTATGCCAACCGCATGCGCCGTAGGTACGCAGTGCCTATGCACCGGGTACGTAACCATACGCAATCGTACGGCAGCCTAAACATAACCTAAGCAGGTACTACGCCGAAGCAACATTTTTTCATGAATACGCAGCCTAATTTCGGCATACTCGGTACACCTCACTACGCAACTCTACGCTGATCCGGTGTGAAAGGGGCTTTACTCGAAATGAATGCATGGACTGACATGAAATTGGTAGACATTTTACAGAAGAAATGGCAAAAACCATATCATTTGAACATTTTCTAAAATACTATGTAGTGGAAGTTTAATTTCTGTTATAAAAAGTATCATCCAGACACCAGGAGGGCATTACTAGTGTGAAACCGTCATAAATTTAAATTTGTGGACATCTCGTTGAAAAGTGTGTTATAGAATTAACACGCATTTCTATGGGATTTCCACAAACTTAGACTTATGACGGTTTCTAATAATGCAAAGGATTCACCCTTTCAAATTTAAGAGATATGTAAAATGATGTTGAAATTATTTGTCTAGAGTTTAGATCTACTATGAATGTATTTGTTTGATTGCAGGAGAAAGGACATAGAATCTGTAATGGCCCATACGTCTTCTGAAGATTCTGATCATGAGGTTCCTGGGTAAGTATAGTATTTTTATTCTTCAACGTATTAATATTAATAATAACAATATTCCCTTCTTGTACATCCCAATTATGCTAAAATGCGCTTCCAAAAGACTATAGATAGTATTACCTCTGCTTTAGCTGTTTGCAGCTGTATATAGTGCTCAGTGCGTGTAAGGAGTAAATCCTACCAGGTACCTGCTTATAAAACTTAGTCGAGTGTGGCAAATGTAGACTTAATTATGTCATGCCAAAGGACATGGTGATGTGGCAGGGATTCAAACCCAGTACCTTGTGCTACACAGTCTGGAGACTGTAAGTGCGTACATTATGAATACCGGTAGTGGTCCTTATGAATAACGGTCCTTATGCCGTTATGAATGGTGACCCCCTTTTCGTTTTATGAATAGCAGTCATTCACGTTAGGAAGTTACAAGTTATGAATAGCGGTCCTTACGACTAGCGAGGTTACCCTCAACAAACTATTCCACCAGCAAAATAAACATGATTATTTCTGGTAAACCTTTATGATATTTCAAAACTCATCTCAAAGCATATACAAGAGTATGAGACAGGATTTTGACTCTCCTTGAAAAAGTGCTTTCAAAACCGTTTAGCATCATTCTGTCTTTTCTTCTTTTTTTATTTATCTGTAAGTGACATGCAAATGATCTCCCTATGCAACAATGTACATGTATTTCTCGTGGGCTGGTTCTTCCAAATGTTTTGGGATTGATTACATATTTTCAAGTGTAAAAACTTATCTGTACATGTACATAATGATATACATGTATACACAATGTTATAGTTAAACAGGTCATCATGTACCTTAATATCCAGACCCAATATAGTGAGAGGATGTTGATGATGATTCAGATGATAATAATAATTAATATGTATAATAACAATGATAACCATAATAATAACAATAATAATAATGATAATAATGATGATAATTATAATAATAAATCACAATTTTTACAAGCATACATATTTATGATGCGAATGAAAGGTTAAACGAAGTGTACTTTTCTATTAATATTTTAGGAACATGGATGAAGGAGATGAGAACACCATCAAGATCCTGGTGGCCACAGACTGTCACGTAGGATACATGGAGAAAGATTTCATCCGTCACAGCGACTCCATCGACACGTTTGAGGAGATCCTGCAGCTGGCACAAAAAAACAAGGTACTATAAAAGTAAAAGTGTATCATCTAAAATATTTGTGTGTACAGCTAGAAGGTACAAAATCAACCTGGAAAAGGTTCATCCGGCTTTTTACAGGCTTAAAAGTCGGGTGGCATCCAATTATAAGTTGATTCATGTCAATGTGGCTGTATACAGCATATGTTGTTATTCAAACATCTAAGTATATTTCAAAGATCGTAAAATATTTAAAAAAAAAAAAAAAATCAGACCTGCTAAGCTCCACCCTAAAAAAATGCTCCAGATCTCATTCATCTTGTGACATCATATGTCAATCATTAGTGAGTAACAAGAGACAGTGGTATGTAGCTTCACCAAACTACATACATGTAGTTCTTTACGTTGTTAAGGTTATACTAGTCAACAGGTGATCAACTAATGTTGCAGATACACTCGTAACTCTTGCTGGTTCCATTTTATTTATTTGTAACAAGGCATATAAAAGTAAGTCGCAGTTGGTGTCACCAACTAAAACTGTCACAATTTAATCTGTCACTAAATTTATGACAGTTTTCATATAAATTAAAATTAGATGGCTAGATTCTATAACCTGTTTTATAATATTGGTTAGCCTACCATTTGACCTGGCCCTTTGCCTGTTTTAGGTTGACATGGTGCTGATTGGAGGCAACCTCTTTCATGAGAACACACCCTCCAAGAGGTCCTTACATGGGGTCATGACCCTACTCAGGAAGTACTGCATGGGCGACAGACCAGTACAGATCGAGTTCCTCAGCGATCAGAGCGTCAACTTTGCAGCTAGTCCGTAAGTTTAGTGAGGTAGCTTATTGAAATGAAGTGGCGCGAAAAGACGAATATGGAGCTGGGAAATGTATCTTGAGGAGCTAAAATTTTAGCTAATATTTTAAAAACAGAACCAATTTGGTATCATTCTTGGTACAAAACAGATAAGAGCTGCTTGCAAGGGAGATAACAGAGCTGCCAATTTGAATTTGATGATGTTTCCATGAATATACTTATCAGTCATGTTTTTTAGTCTTTCTTTTTTGCCAAGCTGTTGACCAGATATAAAAAAAAATATAATTTTCCGAAAATTATTCTCATTATATATATTAAAGGTGAAGCATTTCTGGGTGCTATAAATTTGCCTTTTTTTGCCTTTTTTTTTCTTCCTTCTTCTTCATGACTAGATTCCCAAATGTGAACTGTGAAGATCCAAACCTGAATATTGACATGCCTATCTTCTCTATACATGGCAATCATGATGAACCTGCTGGGGTGAGTTTACACTACATGTACCTCACAAATTACTGACCATGAATAAAACTGTACTAAAGGGAAATCCATCCTGAATCACAAAGTGCCTAAAAGAAAGCAGAACAAATAGAGAAGCAGACTAGTGAAAGTGTGAATGAAACGGGACAGATGATTGGAAAGTTATGAATTCTTAAAAGTTGTAATCGGTACACATATTGGAATTTCTATTTGATCGAAACAGTTATGCTGGACAATTCTCCTATTTGCTCCAACACATTAAATTACTATAATATGAATTTTGTTAATCGTATTTCTGTAGAGGATCTTGTGTTTTTATGCCTCCGCCACCGAAGGTGGTGCCGGAGGCATCATGTTTTCGGGTTGTCCGTCCCGTTTGACCGTTATCACAATATCTCAAGAACCATTTAAGATTTAAACTTAAGACTCGGGAATAGTATTTATCACCATAGGAAGACGATCTGATTAGATTTTGGAGTACGTAGGTCAAAGGTCACAGAGGTCAACTTATGAAATTCCTTGTATTGAGTTTGTTAGCGCGATATCTCAAGAACCATTTGAGATTTAAACTTCAAACTTGAGGATAGTATGTATCACCATAGGAAGACGATCTGATTAGATTTTGGAGCACGTATGTCAAAGGTCAAGGGTCACAGAGGTCAACTTATGAAATTCCATACATTGAGATTGTTATCATGATATCTCAAGAACCACTGGAGATTTAAACTTCAAACTTAGTGATAGTGTGTATCACTATAGGAAGACAATCTGATTAGATTTTGGAGCACGTAGGTCACAGGTCAAGGGTCACAGAGGTCAACTTATGAAATTCCATACATTGAGATCGTTATCGCGATATCTCAAGAACCACTGGAGAATTTTCACTTCAAACTTAATGATAGTATGTATCACCATAGGAAGACGATCTGTTTAGATTTTGGAGCACGTAGGTCAAGGGTCACAGAGGTCAACTTGTGAAGTTCCATGTCTTCAGCCTGTATCGCGATATCTCAAGAACCATTTGAGATTTTAAACTTCAAACTTAAGGATAGTATATATATCACCATAGGAAAACGATCAGATTAGATTTTGGAGTACATGTATGTCAAAGGTCATAGAGGTCAACTTGAAAAATTCAGACTACATGTATAGGACTTGTCATGATATGTCAAGAACCACTTGAAATATGTTCCGTTACTTAACCCGTACTTAACTGGGCTATTTTGAGCACCTCCCTGACTGGGGGGGGGGGGGGGGGGGGGGGGAGGGGCCGATTGCCTCGAAATTTGGCACGCGTCTTGAGAAATTGCGCAAAGGAAGAGACCTCACTATTATTACATAAATAAAGCTTTTACAGAGTTGATTTTGTGGCAAAAAGTTTCTAAAAAGCCTATCGGGCATTATCACATAAAAAAATTGTCCATGTCTATTTCAATTCTTATGTATTTCATTGTTTTATGAACTTCTTTTGTATTCTATTGTTATTAATTCTTAATCTTATGTATTGTATTGTTTTAGGACTTCTGATACTTGAGGTTGTTACGTATCAATATTTTGCTTGAATAAATGATAACTAAACTCTAAAGAGTAAAATTATGCTGATTTATAGACCAAACTAGAAACTTCACTTTGCCATTCATTTTGTACACAAAATGACAAATTTCTCAATTTTCGGCTTGACCTTAGGTCACAATAGGTCAAGTAACTCTCTAGCTGAATGTCTGATTTTCAAAAACTTGGTGTCAAAAGATCCGTAAGACTTGAAAGAAAAAACTCATGAAGCAGCATCGCCGAAAACATGGCGGTTCATGTGCAACAAAATTTGTTTGGGGGGGGGGGGCCTCCGAGGCTCCCTCCTCCCTCCCCCCCCCCCCCCCCCAGTTAAGTAAGGGTTAAAAACTTTTTAAAAATATGATAGTGTGTATCACCTTAGGAAGATGATCTGATTTAATTTTGAAGTGTCTAGGTCAGAGGTCAACTGACAAAATTTTAGGTACATATAGCTTTTTTAATGCAAAACCTCAAGAACTGTTTGATATATTTCCTTCAAACGTGATGATAGTGTGTATACCCATAGGAATACAATCCGATTTAATTTTGTAGTAACTTGCTCAGGGGTCATAGGTCACAGAAGTCGACTCATAGAATGAATTTCCAGGTGTTGGCTTTTTTAAAGTTAAAATCTCTCTAACCACCTACATATAGACATATAAACATAATAGGTAGATGATCTGATTACATTATGGACTAATTACATGTAGCTTGTGATCGTATTATCATTAGAACAGATTGATGGATTCCTGCCAAACTTAGATCATTTATGTATCTTGCAGAGCCAATGAATGGTTCATAAGATCAAAGGTCATGGGCTCATTATGTATGCAAAAATAGCTTGTGGACGCATTCTCATTAGAACTGACAGATGGATTACTATTTAACTCAGGAAATCTTGCAGAGCCAATGAACTGAGTAGATTTTAGGGTCATGAGGTCAAAGATCAAAGGGTCATATATGTATATGAGAAATTGCTTGTAATCACGATATTCTGAGAACATGTTAATGGATTACAATTGAACTTGAATTTGAAAAATTTCTTCCGTTTCGGTTTGTAAAATTGCTCTATGACGGAGGCATCATTTTCGACTGCGCGCAGTCGAATTCCATCTAGTTTGATAGCCTATGATGATACCCTATATTTAGTATAAAACAAACAGAGTTTTCTGAAAGAGGGGCAGGTTCATATTGTATGTAAAGAGTTCCCACCCAGATGGATGTTTTACGCCTAATCTACTACCATTCTATTGAATGGAAACTATTTTTTTTTACCTCTTTGGGACTGATTTATTGTAAATGGCCAAATCATAGCCTTTTGCTTATAGTTGGAAGAAGTGTTGTTGAATTTATGACATTTAATTAAATGAAGAAAGAAAAAGAAGTCATTATCTTCCTTCCCCTATGCACTCTTGAAGCTGGGTACTCTGTCTGCTCTAGACATGCTGAGCGCCTGTGGCTTGGTGAACTACTTTGGTAAAAGTACCTCGCTGGAATCGGTCGAGATCTCCCCCATCCTTATTCAGAAAGGAATAACCAAGCTAGCTATGTTTGGACTAGGTAAGTCTCCCCCCCCCCCCCCCCCCCCAGCCCTACCAGACCTGATTGTCAGTTCAATACTTATCCCAGAAATATGCACATTTCATGCAATGCAATTTTGGATTAATGATGTATTTTGGCTTATAGTTGGTTTGCTTACAAAGTTAAACACTTAGTTGTGATCTGAATAGGAGATAAGACATATTACTTAATCTGAATTATCTGACATACTGCCTTAACCTGCATTATAAATGTTCACTACCGGTATTATTATTATAATTATTATTACTGATTTAAATATATGGTTCCTGGTTGCCAGCTTTAGGCTTCAGGCAAATTGTTCATGTTGGCCATTTTTTTCGCAGCAAAAAGCTTTGTGATTTCCCAATTATATTGCTCTAATTCAGTCATTTTGCGCACTTTTTGTATGTGATTCCCTTCATGTCTGTAAAAAAGCCAGAGGTAGGGATGTTCTTCAGTGGAGTTTTGAGTATGCACTGTGAAGGGTAGAACAATTTATTTGGATCCACTGACTTGAGTAATGATACTGTACATGTAAGTAGATCTACCTTGCTTGGATACTTTATTACACCACCATCATGACCATGATCATCACTGTCTTCATGACCATCATCATCGTTCTCGTTCTCGTCATCATCATCATTATTTATAGCATTATGATGTTTTCCATGGTTACAGGTTCCATACGAGATGAACGTCTTCATCGGATGTTCCTATCAGGAAAGATCTCCATGCTGAGACCAAAGCAGAATGCTGATTCCTGGTTTAATATCTTTGTCATCCATCAAAACAGGTATGTTGTAAATTCAACCTTCTCCTATTATCAAGATTGCATTTTGTTATTACACAATTCACTCCTAGATCCTAATCAAACAATTAGTAAAACGCAATCATTCATTTATTAAGACTTTCAAAGTTTTTTAATTTCATTAAACAGTGTGCACAAATTATCAGTACTATGCAGAATTGTGTTTGTAAAGAACGTAATGCGCCCCCTGGCACGTGAGCTTGTAGGGGCAAATGCATGTGTAGCACTGCACGTTTGAAATGATTACAATGCATTATTTGTATACTGATAATCGAGCAATACTACAAGAAAGAGAATAATGCTCTACACGTGGTCATACCTGTATGTTGAATAAAGATGACTGTTATAGCTAAATTATTGAAAAGTGTTGAATTAATAAAGGGATGAATTAATAAAGGGATGAATGAATAAGCAAATAAAAGAATGAACCGTTGAATGAAATACATAGCTAGCAATGAGAGACTTTAAGAATGATTTATCAATAACATTGCTTTCAGTGGAAAGAAGGAAGAGGAATAGAGACAGGGAGAGAGAGAGGGAGGGAGGGAGTGAGAGAGAGGGAGGGAGAGAGGGAGGGAGGGATTGAGAGAGAGGGAGGGATGGAGAGAGAGAGGAAGAGAGAGGGGGAGGGAGAGAGAAAGTCAAAGAGAGAGAGGGGGAGGGAAAGTAATAAACTTAATCACAAGAGGGAAGAGCAATCCTTAAGTTTATCTTTTTATATATACATCTATTACTAATTGTCTATCGTTCTATCAATCTAACCATCTGAATCTAATATGAGATTTGGAACAAATGTAAGCATGAGCTGATTACAAAATTATTGTACTAGAATTTGTGTGTGTTTACATGTACATTTTTTTCTAAATAGCACTCTTGTTTTTTTTAATGCTGATGGAAAGCAAATTGTCACTATTTTGTTGACAATGAAAGAACTTGTCAAGTTTTCAAAGTTTAGCTAATATATGAGTTCCTTGCAATAATGTCCATTTGCAAGACCGTTGACTTCAATCTACATTTGCCATACTCGACCCAGGTGAAGTGAATGGGTACCTGGCATGAATTAATTCCTTCCAATGCTAGAGCGCCATAATGGCATGATATAGACAGTAATAATTGTGGAGCGCCATGAGCGCTATACAAGATCCCATTTTATTTAGTAATATTGTTATCATTGTAATCATTATTGTTATTATTATCATTTTAATTATTATTAATATTATTAAATATTAATAATATTGTTATTATTATTATTATTACTATTATCATTATTATTATTACATTAGCTATTATTATTTAATCTATTTCCCTATCTATCTTTCAGAGCCAAGCGTAGTAGGAACAACTACATCCCAGCACAGTTCCTGGACAACTTCATTGACCTGGTCATTTGGGGTCGCGAGCATGAATGCCTGATTGATCCTGTATGGAATGCTACACAGAACTTCTTCATCAGCCAGCCTGGTAGTAGTATAGCCACCTCATTAACGCCTGGAGAAGCAGTGCCAAAGTAAGTCTTTTTGCCTTTCTTCCACACGGACACCAAACTCATTTTTCTTTCTATTTTGTTTGTTTGTTTGCATTTTTCAACATAATAAAAAGTAATATACAAACTAGGTTCATATAAAGTATTAACAAAGGTCAAAATACATATATATGTTATCATATCATAGTATAAATCAGTTAAATAATCATACCTTTAATACATCATATAGTTGAAAAATCATTTTAATAGTATACCTCATTTTTTAATAACTTTCTTTCCTGTTGTTTGTTTGTTTTGATGGAAATCGTATCATTTCCAAAATGTTAACATTTTAATGTGAATTGAATTTGAAAATTGACCAAGTGATACCCTTCTCAGTCTCCTACTCTCTCTCTCTCTCTCTCTGTCTTACTCATTCTCTCTCAATTTTTGTATTTCTCGATTCTTCCCCCTTTCTCTTTCTCACCCCCTCCCCCCTCTCTCATCCCCTCTCTCCCCTTCTGTCATCCCACCTCTCTGACAATCCTCCTCTCTCTCCCCTCCTGCTGCCTTTTTGTTTATCATCTTTTTATATATATCGTCGGTGGGGTGACAAAACCTCTTATCTCAAAAATCATGAATTTTCAGGAGAGCGAAAAAACTTTCCTGTCTCAACAAATTTAGTGCTGTGACACCGTCCTTTCTTTTTAAAACTGGAATATTTATACAATTGTTAATGTCATTGTGAAAATACAGTAAAATAATTGTTTTTATATTTGAAAGTGAGTTACGAGGTTTTTGCTTTTATCTACATTGAGATACGAGTTTTTAGTTTTTATTCAAATTGAGATACAAGTTCTTACTTTCAACTCTGAATGAGTTAGAAGGATTTGGTTGAATAAGTTACGAGGATTTGAATACACTAACTTCGGTACTGTTAGGCCGTGTGTGAGTTACGAGGAAAAGGAATTACGTATCTTATGTTACAAGGTTTTGTCAGTGCAGCTTCAAAGGGGGTTAAAGTTACGAGGTTTAGTTTAAGGGTTTTTGTGTGGAATTTGTGAAAAACCGAGACAGAAGGCGTTCCATGGATTTATCAGGTGGTGTCGTGGGCCATTAGGTACAAAATTATGCAAAAAAATCAAAATCTCAAAAAAATTGAGATACGAGGTTTTGTCACACCACCGACGATATGTATCTGTTGATTTCTCTTCCATTTTTCTCCAACTCTCTACCCCTCACGCAATCCCTAGGCATGTAGGCCTGCTGCAGGTGTGTGGGAAGGCCATGAAGTGCACCAAACTCAAGCTGGAGACTGTCCGACCGTTCTACATAGAAGACATAGCCCTCCAGGACACCACCCTTGATCGTGATGATGTCAACGCATTTTGCACTGAAAAGGTAGCACATCATCCTTTCCAACTGATTAATGAAATGTATTTGGGGAAAGCTGACCCATGTGCCTCTTTTGAAATTCAAAATGGAGATTTATAATGATCGCTTCTTAATAATTTCAAATAGATGGTGTTTTGCAGTCTTAATTTCCAATGCTTTGCACTAAATAGGGGTATACTGCAAAAATCTCTATTTCTTCAAAACAAGTGGTCGATCTTGAAATCCTGAAGCCGTCATGTATTATACCTTCTGCATATAGAGTTGGGTTAGGGTGATAACAAGATTATTATGTCATTTATTCCCCTACCTAACCAAATATATAAATCATGACAAATTAATAGAAATTAGAACAAAAATCAGGCAGTTGATAACTTCCAATCAGTGGAGGTCTATTTGCTTAAAGTGTATCATTTACCAAGACCTTTTGATCATGATGCGATAAGTGTACTGTATTCAAAATATGAGCTTTAAGTATTACTCCTGCAAAAGGATATCGCAAGTTAAATGCATTCTCAGTGAACAGTAAAATGTCTTGTTGAGTAGACTAGTTAATGCACAATATTTAAAGTACAATGTATTTCATGAATATTCAAATTACAATGTATATTCATGAATATTCAAAGTACATTGTATATTTATGAATATTCAAAGTACAATGTACATTCATGAATATTCAAAGTACAATGTACATTCATGAATATTCAAAGTACAATGTATATTCACGACAACAGAGTGAAAGGATAATCTGCCCTGAGCTTTAAATGAGGTGTGATGCATTGTGCACAGGAATTAGTCTATTCCCATAAATAATAATAATCATCAAAAAGTTATTACGGTAGACCTTATGAATGGTAGATGAAATGCCATTAGACAAACTGGGAATGAGATCGACTGGCAATTAGACCAAATGGGTAGAAAACTGATTCTTAGACCATATGGATATTAGACAGGCTGGGTATAGACCAAACGGCTACGGTATAAACCGGAACCACCACACCACCGTTTGGATGTTTTTATTTTTTGCAAATCTTTCATGTCTTAATAGGTGGAAGCCCTGATCCAGAGAGCAGAAGATGAACACACTGGTAACAGAAAACAGCCAACGCTTCCACTGATTCGGCTTCAGGTATGTCCTCTGTCAATGTACTTTGTATAAAATCACTGAAGAGGTTCATCCGATTGGTGTTTTCACTTGAAAAATAGTGCTTTCTTCACAATCAGTAGAAGAATTACCTTTTTCCATTTGTGAGATGCATCTTCTATAGGCATATTCACACTACAGAAAAAACAAGAAAAACCCCTGGTTTTTGTAACTACTTTTTACACTACATATGTATAACATTTTGGTTGTTTGCTTTCCATCAAAAAATTCATGTGCTTTTTTGACGAATATTGCGCATGGGCAACTTGTCACTACTCTTCACGCCAGAGCACGGAAGCAACAAGAATCACATGAGCAAACAGGAATATAAACTGGTATTTTGCAAACAGCCATTTACACTGCAAAGACTGGTGGAATTTTAGCTGGATTCTCAAAAAAGCACACTTCAGAGGTTGTTTTTTTTATTCCGTTTTTGTTATTGCTGTGTTATTGGTAGTTGGGTGAGAAAAACTAATTGTTGCTTGCAGTGCCTTATATGAGAATATAATCCTCCCCCCCCCCCCCCGGTAACCTGACAAGTTTAGTTGTGTATTGCATTTCACACCATGACTCTTCACATCTATTTTGTAATGATTCTCATGCATTTTTTAACACCAAATTTACCAAAAGTGGGTCGTGAGCTTTTGTGATCTTATGTCGGGCTGAAAATGGAAAAATGTTTAGCTTCGGTTACATGATGAAGGGAAATTTGTGTTACCTTATAACTTGCCTACCGGTTTATAACTTGTAATTTCGTCTATGAGCTGTAATTACTATCTATTCTAACTACTATGTGTAGGTTGACTGCCGTGAGTGGTACAACAAATTAAACGGAAAACGGTTTGGTCAGAAGTTTGTAGGTCGTGTGGCTAACAAGGATGACCTTGTCTGGTGTAGTAAGAGAAGAATACAAGGACAAACAAAAGAAGGTGAGTTCATTTTCTTTTTGTTTATTAATGTTAAATACAAGCATCATGGTTTTGGTTGTTATATTCAACATTATTACCATCATCACCATCATCCTTACCATCATTATTATCATCAACACCTTACTATTGGGATTACCACTAACCATCATCTTCATCAGCATCGCGGTCATCATCTTCCTCATCATAATCGAGGAGGATGTAATACGGTGATGTAATGCGTTGCTTTTTTCAGACTTTCATATCAGATATTTTCATGAGAATTATATGGTGGATATTATATTGTGTACAATAATTGTGTGGATAAATATATACATCTGACGCCTGGACCAATTGGTGAGTTTTGCAGACTGATTCTCATTGTTTACAGACATGCCAACCGTTCTGTTTCTAATGGAACTGTTGCGTTTTTGAGTTTTTCGAAGCCATGACAAAACGGAACGTTCCGATTTGGGGGAATCTATGTATTTCTATTTGCAGCGTGTAATAATGAGCGCGCGTGTGCATATAGAGTGCGCATAGGGTGCCATGCATAATCCCTCAGTCATAGGCACCGCACAGCGTGCACGCCTCGCGCTAGCACTGTCGCTCACTATCACCACATGACTATACTCCGGCCGTATAGGCAAGATACGTATTTCACGTGCAGTGCACAGTGCAGTCACGGTACATGATTAGTGATAATAACCAAGTGATTAGTGATTATAACCAAGTAATGTATGCAACTACACATGTAGCGTACATTGCCAGTGGTCTTTTGTGTACATTTCACTGCACCTGTTCACTTGCTCATATGTTTGTTTTAATATGTACTTCTTATAATCTTTATCTCTATCTTTTTGTCCTCACACACAGTGCTTATACTCTCAATTTGCATTCCAGGGACAATCCACTCCTCCCTGTTTATTCTATGTTGGCTGTATGTACAGCCATATAGCATATGAACACGTTTTAGTCGACAGAATGTGCTACACCTGTCTGATAGCTATTAAAAAATCAAAACAAACAAAATCAAAACAAAAAAACATGTATTTATTGTCTGTCTATCCAGCAGTTGTGCTCTGGTTAATCTATCTGTAAGTTGAAAAGAGATCAAACACTGCTTTAACTCGATCAAACTTTTCCAACAATATGTTTTATGTATATTTTATTGTATCAATAGGAGCTCGTTATTCATGCATTTGAACATATTGAGCAATTTCCTTTGTGATATCGTTTGTTTAGTGGTTATATTGCACTCTCTTGTTTCACATAAGCTAGATGATTGTGTTTATGCTGCATGTGTACATACAAGATACTTATTGTTTCTATAGAGTGGTGAAGTGTGACATCATCAAAAATCTGTTTTTAGAATTTCTCAATTTTTTCTTCATTTCGGAAAGAGCATCAAAAATAATGTCCGATCGTCGAAAACTTATTGAATATATTAAATATTGGCTGAGATATGACCATCTGAATAAATATATGTCCTATGGGAATTCAGTGTTATAGTGCTCTGGTTCATAACATTAGGATCTTTTTTGATCTTTTTTCCAGCTAGTAATTAAAAAAGTAGTTACAAAAAAACTCCTAGGAATCCCTTGGTAATGCAAGCTCTTTTACGTTCAATAAATCAAGAAAAAAAAAATATTTAAAGTGTAAATTTAAGTTATTGGATAAAGATAAGATAAAATATACAGAATATAAGAACATACTTTGAGGAAAGCTAAAAAAAAAGTTTTCGTAAGCAGTTTGAATTGTATACAAATGACCTAAAAAATACTTGGAAGGTTATCAAACTTGTTTATACACGGGAAAGGCAAGACTTCCACAATTACAAAGATTAAAGTTAATAATGAAGTTATTGATAATACTGAACTAATACCGGAATATTTTAATGATTATTTGTCAAATATTGGTCTCAACCTTGCCCCCTAAATACCAGACTCAATAGCATTTCACTGACTTCCTTGGAGCCCCAAATTCACTTTCTTATATTTTAACCAATTCTTGAAAGTGAAATTATAAACATAATTAACGGATTGAAGAATAAGCGGAGTTCTGGACATGATGAAATAAGCAATTATCTCTTGAAAAAAATAATCCTTTAGTCTATATTTTAAATCTATCACTTACAGCTGGGTTGGTGCCTCAATTGATTAAATTGATTAATTTGGCAAAAGTTGTTCCAGTCCAGTCTTCAAGAAAGGAGATCGTTAGAGTAAGGAAACTACATACCTATTTCCTTGCTGACATCTTATCTAAAGTTCTTGAAAAAAATTGTACATAATAATATATGTTCCTACTGTAAAATTCTTATGTACTAGTAATATTTTCTATCAGGCACAATTTGGCTTCCGTGAAAACAAGCATAGTACAACACATGCCCTTTTGACTCTAATAAATAAGGTGGCTCGCTCTATTGACAATTTCGAACATACAGTGAGGGTTTTTTGGGATTCCGCTAAGACGTTTGAAGCAATAAATCACAAAATACTTCTTTACAAACTTTCGAACTACAGAATCAGAGGATTACCCTTAAAGTGGTTCAAGAACTACCTCTATAATAGAAAGCAATATGTTCTCATAGAAAATGCACATTCTTCTATAAAGACCATTGAATGTAGCGTGTCTCAAGGTTCTATGTTAAGTTCTGAAACTTATGTCTAAGAGAGATTATTTAAAAAAAGAAATATGAGAAGCTCAAACTACCTCATATTTTGTCTGAGTATCATCAAACGCGGAATAATGTTACTAAAGTTATTTTTTGAAAACGTAACTATTTTAATACTGTAACTGAGAAGTATGAAGGTGATAGTAAGAAATTATGGAAATAAGTAAATAAGCTTATAGGACGGAAACCTATCAATACAGGTATCTCTAATAATTTGAATGGTGATGATTTTAATGAACTTGTTGTAAATATAGGTACCGATTCTGATCTTGTTATCCTGATTAAATATGTTCAAATAAATAAAATAAATAATAAATAAATCATTTTCATCGTCATCACCATCGTCGGCATCATCATAACCATATCATCATAGTCATCATCAGCATCAGCATCATCATCATCATTGCCATCATCATCGTCACCAAGAATGATCTGTCAAAAGATAGGTTTGGATTTAGTGACCCTCTCTCGATCTCCAAGTGCTTTTATCATTAGTGTTTACGATGCAGTTAATGAAGAACATTATGTTTGTCCAGAGCCAAAACAACATGAGTTAAGGTCCTTCTAGCTCAAAACCGAAAATGTTATATAACGCCTGGCTGGAATGCTCCCCAGGGAGTGGAGATTGTGCACACATTGTGTGTGGGCAAGCACTGAATCCAATGACCAGGGTAATAGCATATTTGTAAAGCGCTTAAAGACATTTGTATTAAGCGCTATATAAAAATTAAATATTATTATTATATTATGATTGTTTATGATTTAGATATCTTACATGTCTGTGTTATCTATCTTACCTTCAGATACCGAACCTGTAGAAGACTTAGAGGAATTCTTCAAGCTAGAAGCTCTTGGAACGGAGAGGCATGAAGACTCTGTTTGCAAGTACTTCTCAGGGACAGAAGAGGTAACAGATATTCAGAAATGATTTTGATGCTGTTAGAGCTGTGCAATACACCACTTTAATCATTTTATTAAAACTGGTTTTTCAGTACTACAGCTATCTGTATTTATTTAATTGTTGTGATTCATCATATCTGTATCTAAGAAATCAGGGTCTTATTGACAGCTGATTTTCTGTTATGCCAAGCTAACATTGCAATGACTTGTATTAGTACTATATTCAGTTGACAAGGTAGCATTATATTGTGAAAAATACAGTGTCTTCAATGTCTTGATTTTATTTCTCATGGTAAAAAAAAAGATCCACCTGAACTGTTTAGGGATTATCTAAGGAATTAAGGAATTACAGGAGGAATAATATCAAGGCCTGTAAGCCAAACTGTACCTCCTTTTCTGGATAACAGTGTTCTAAAAATGAATTTTAACAATGTAAAACCTGTCTATGACATCAAATATGTATGATGCATGAGAAAATACATTATTTCAATCATTTAATGGCCTACCTACAAAAGTCACTACATTGTAGTTTATGTCCACACACACATAAACACTTGCGCACACCAGTACATATGTATGAATAGTTTCTTCTGAGGACTATGGAAAAATACCATCTTTTGAGGACACCCCCTTTGAGGGGATTTACATATTATGAAATATCTTGTTGTCTACGTTTTTGCTCACAATTTCTCTCGATAAATTAAGCTTATTTTAATGGAGAGAAAGAGAGAAAAAAATTGAATGAGGTCGCTTTTGACTTGTTTACTGACATTATATATCTAAGGATTTTATGAATACTGGTTTAATTGCCACCACCAACATATGAGGATTATTGAATAAGCGTATCAAAAATGGTTATTGATTACACCATAATTTTGCATATTATCACTTCTTCTTTTTTTAAATGCTTTGTTCATGTTTTTCGGTGTACACTGTCAAAGGTTTTAGAAGTATACCACTTGGTCGAAATACTCTTCATAAAGTACAGACTGTCATCTGTTTATGACCCCAAATTTTCCAACACTACTTTAATGAGTTTCTAAAAATGGGTTCTAAACATACTGAATATATCCTGCAGGACTGCACATACAATACGAGGGCAACACATGCAGTGCAATCTTCTCTAAACGCACATTGAATTCTGCACCACATAATATACAGGGACACCATGGGTACTTTCTTTTCCAAACATTTTTGGGGGGTCTCACTGAGCAAATCTTGTAAGGTCCTGTGAGATACATTTATCTTTTCAGAGTTACTTCTCAAAATAATGAAGTACATCGTCTTTTTGTATTTTCAAATATCTAGGGTGTCCAATATAAAAGGCTCACCGTGATTATGCTACATGATGTACTGTTTTATCTTTTTTTTCTTTCTCTCTTCTTCCTTTTCCTCATTTCTAATTCTTATCCTTTTTCTTTTCTTAACCCTTACTGTACTTTTCAGAGATTGCGCCGCACCCGCGTGGAATTTTGAATTGTCGTTTCATGACTTTTTTCCCTCAAGTTATAACCGTAAGGTGTTACATAACAATTAGTATGCGCATGTCATCAAAAATATGCTATAATTGCATATATTCGCATATATTCATGTACAATACAGGTTTAGATGTATTTGGGAGATATGAATTGATATCGAATTGCTTGTTTATGTTTCTCAAAGTAACTTGATGTATTCCAGAACAAAAGAATACATTAGAAATAAAACAATAAATATAATAAGAAATAAAAACAATAAAATACAAAAGAAAATAAATATTTGAAAAATGCATCAAATTTGCATAAATTATCATTATTATTACTGGTACATCAAAATAACTATTTTGTGTTAGAAAAGAAGTTTCATCTGAATAATGAGTTTCAATTAACGTTCAAAAAGTGGAGTCTGACAATTTTTGTAATGATTCTAGTTCCATGTATATTTCCAGATTTAATATTCATGAATGCGTATTCATAATTTATGCAAATTAACCTATGCATAAAAATAATATCATAAAAATAATGTAACCTCATGAATTTGAGATGAAGGAAACATTTATTCAAAACATTTTCAACATTCTTCACAAGTCTACAGACAAATTTGTAGAGTTATCTGTAAAATGCATAAAATTAGCATTTTGCATAATTAATTAGGCTATAACGACAAAAATTTGCATCGAAAAATGTTGTCCATCGCGGAAAGAAAATCAAGAGTTGAACAAATATCCAGTTGTCTCGCGAAGTGTAATAAGAAAGAAATCTCACAACGTTTCGTACGCTGCTGCTGTACTTCGTCAGGTGACAAATATTTTGGTGCGCGGTCGCAATTTATACCTTTTACTAACAGTAGTACCGGTATTGACCGGTTCGTCGTTAATTGGCGTCACCCGTCCAGCGTTCTGATTGGACGGGTCCGTGCGGGAGGCGTAGGCGGTAACGCTGACCGCTGGGCTACGATTGGACAATGCTGCGGCATTGTCCGGAGCTGCGCGCTCTCCGCTCTGATTGGCTGGGCCGGTACAAACGGCGTAAATAGTGCCGTTAATCGCTGTGTCGTGATTGGTCAATGCTGCGGTGTCGTCTGATGTTGCGTGTCCTTTGCTCTGATTGGTTGAGCCGGTGCAAGCCGCGTGGGTGGTGCCGCTGATCGACTGGTTGATGTTCTGTGTCCGGGTGAAATTACGTGGGGCGTGCCGTCGTATGGTTCTGATCCAAGAATCCGGAATCTCGAACCCGTTGTCCCTGTTGATGTTGTTAGGTTGTAACCGAATCTGGATCGCTTCCTTTACGCGGCGTGTGTACCAATGCTGTTCTTTTGCTAAGCACTTTACTCCATTCCAGTCGGGTCGGTGTTCCTCGTTCCAAGCATGTTTGGCTACGGCTGAATTGTCTGTCAGTCTTAATCTGACGTCACGTTTGTGTTCCCACATTCTTTCACCTACTGGCCGGCCCGTTTCCCCGATGTATTCCTTATCACATGAGCCACACAGTATGCTATATACCACACCATTGCGTCTGTGTTCAGGAACTGGGTCTTTCGGGTTGACAAGTTGGCTCCTCAATGTAGTGTCAGATTTGAAGATGGTACGGATACCATGATTCTCAAGTCGACGACGGAGTTGGGGTGCGATGCTTTCAATGTAGGGTAGCACAGCCATGGATTTGTACTCCTTACGCTCATCCTGCGTAGTGACTGGCCTTTGCTTGGAAGCATTGCATATGAATGATTTGGGGTAACCATTGGCAGATAGAGCGCCTCTCACGTGACTTCGTTCCGCATTTGCCCCTTGTGGCTTAGTGACGATGCGATCCGCTCTGTCGTGTAGGCATTTAACAACACCTCTTTTGACCGACGGGATGGTGCGAGTCATAGGCTAGGTATTGGTCGGTATGCGTCGGCTTTCTGTAGACCGTAGTGGTGAGGCTCCCAGCACTGCTTCTATGAGCCAAAGTGTCCAAGAACGCTATGGAGTTGTCCACTTCTGCTTCCATGGTGAAGTTGATGGATGGTTGTTGGTCGTTGACGTATTTGAGCAGATTGTCGACTTCCGATCGTGCGACTACAATGAAAGTGTCATCAACATAGCGCTTCCATACCCTGGGCGCACATGAAGATGGACATTCTCTCAATGCATTTTCCTCGAAGTCCTCCATGTACAGGTTTGCGATCACTGCAGATACGGGGCTGCCCATTGCTGCGCCCTCCGTCTGCTCATGGAAGGAGCCTTTGTAGAGAAAGTATGTGGAGCGGAGTACAAAATCCAATAACTCTGTAACTTGTCTCGGGTTGAGACTAGTGCGAGATAATAGCTTATCATCTGTCTGCAAGCGCTTCAGGGCTACACTGCATGCGTCCTCTATGGGTACGTTAGTGAAGAGAGACACCACATCGAATGAGACCATAGTCTCACTGTTATGGACCGTCTGATCTAGCAGAAACTCAGCAAAGCCGCTGGAGTTAGGAACCGTGTGTTCAGATGTGCCCGTCAGAGGAGCAAGGATGTTTGCAAGATGCTTTAATAGTTCATAAGCAAAGGATCCAATGCAAGAGACAATGGGCCGTAACGGAATCTCAGGCTTGTGTATCTTAGGCAGACCATATATCCTTGGAGGTTGCTTGTGGGCGGGTCTCAGTTCCCGGTATGTTGACTCGTCTATGCTGTCATCCTTCTTTAGACTGAGTAGCATATACCTGTGAGTTTGCGACATAGTCGGTCCGTGGGGTCTTTTCTGACCTCTCGGTACGGTCCCGAGGTTATTAGATCCGCCATTTTGTTATGGTATGAATTAGTGTCTAGTATCACAGTGGCCCGGCCCTTGTCAGCTGGCAACATCATGATGGAATCATCCTCCTTTAAGGATTTGATTGCGTTACGCATATCCTTCGGGATGTTCGGCTTTGGAGGCCGTGCTTTCTGTAGAATGGCATCTACATCTCTGCGGACAGAGTCGGCAGTTTCGGCGTCGAGGGTCCTGATTGAAGATTCCACCTTGGCGACTATCTCAGTCACTGGGATCCGTTTAGGAGCAACAGCGAAGTTGAGGCCTTTCTTCAACGGCATCCTCGGCAGGTGTCAAAGTACGCGATGAGAGGTTTACTACCCACTTGTCAGTATTGACTGAAGTGGTGTTTGCAAATGCACCTTTAGTTCTAGGTTCTATTAGACCCGTGAACTTGGCCTGTTGGCGTGCCTTGCATTTCTGGTAAACATCCTCGTACACACGGTTGATAGTTTGGACTACTTTCTCGCTGTCTTCAGCAGAAAGGATACTGGCGATGTCGGCTGCCGTTGAATCAAATTCAGCTTTAGCTGAGTTCTTGGTGAGTCGTGTAAGGTAGATCCGTTCCTTGAGAAATAAATTTGCATATTAGGAAAAAAATAATTATACCATCTTGTTCCTTACGTAAATATCTACAAACATGCAAATTTTCGTGTTCATCGGACTTTCGACGGCCGAGATCATGGGGTGCTCAAAATAGCCCAGTACAGTAAGGGTTAAGTTGTTCTTCTTTTTATTCTCTTCTTCCTTCTTTCCTCATGCTTTCCTT